TCATGATTTGGCTCTCTGTCTGTTATTGGTGTATAAGAATGCTTGTGATTTTTGCACATTGCTTTTGTATCCTGAGACTTTGCTGAAGTTGCTTATCATCTTAAGGAGATTTTGAGCTGAGACAATGGGGTCTTCAGAATATACAATCATGTTGTCTGCAATTAGAGACAATTTATAAAACAGCAGTAAATAAAAACTAAGTCATCACATAGATGCTATAAACATTTCACTTGACCATAAGTTGTGCAAACCCATGACACACAGGTTCTAAAAACATTACTGGAACTTTACTTTTGCATCTGACCTCTGTAAATAGAAGGTCACTCATTTCTGAAATGCTTCTTATTTTCCTCTGACAAAAAGTTTTTTTTTTAAGTAGGCAAACCATGAAATACAAACAGAAGTCAAAATGAGTCCAGCAGGATGGCAAGCCTCTTTATATATAGCTTTGAAGCCTCTTGCAATAATATTAGAGGAACTAATGAAATGGGAAATGGGAAAGCTTGCAAAGTGCACCTGGTGAGCTAGCACACAATCTCCTTCTCATTCTCTCTGTTATATTATAAAAATGAACATGCTTAGTTCTCTTGCCAAGGGCAGCTTCCCCCCACTTATCCTGTTACATTAACATTTGTGCTGGCATTCATTTTCTGCCTGTTCTCCAGGGTTGGGTTCCCACAGTGAAACTTTGAGGTGGTCTTTCCTTGATCAGACTTCCCCACTTTCAGCTTCTGCTGTACTGCCCCTCCTTACCTTATTCCCACACCCATGGAAGCTACATTTGAGCTAATCCTTTTGCCCAACATAGTTTGATATTTTCAACTGACCATTTCTTTGGGGAACAAAAGTGAAATAATTGAGACAAGGACAGAGAGAATTTTATAGCACTCTCTCTATAGTATGCATGTTCTTTTTCACTGTCAATTGAAAAACCACAGTTCTGGCTGACTTTTTGTAGTAGAGCAGACTGTTATAGGTAAAGAACTGGCCCCCACCTCCTCCTTCCCTCCCTGCACTGTAGTTTCTCTGGTTCTCTTCCTTTCCTTGCTTTCATTCCAGTGACTGGCAAAGAGTGTAAACAAGTGGCCACTACCTATGACATTTTGAACAAAATCAATGCCTGGCACCTCACAAAGGAAGACAGAGTGTTCAATAGCTTTTATTAGCTCTTGATGCTTTTAGTACAGTTCTTCGGATGAAGGAGACAATGGGGAGTGGGATGAGCAGTGAAAGGCAAGGAAAACCCTGATTAGTTTTTAAGGCATCTCAGAACTTTTGATGGCTTTGTCCTGTCATGGGAAATTATTCACTGGGATATTATGGTCTGCATTGAAATAAATGCCTTTTATATCCTATGGCTAAAAATAAGTAAATAAGGGGGAAGATTAAACCTGCAGTTTGTTCTGGAACATCAATGCTGCTATTTCATGAGTCAAAATGGCTTACTAGTGAAAAAAGGAGTTGGTGAGGACTGAGTGCAGGGGAAATAATAAGTCACTTCATTTCTTCTTACGTCAGAGCGATACTTCTCCTGTCCCTTTCCCAATACCTAGCTACGTAGTAAACACTCTCCCCGCTTGGTAGAGTAGAAATTTCCTATCAATTAGTTTGGTCAAATTCCACCACTATATCAAAACAGTCTTACTCTCTCCTTTGTAAGCATAATCTTATATTTTACCCCTGCTTTCTCCTGAGTAGAAGATAAACTGATCATCTAGATCAAAATAGACTCTAAAGTAAGTAGATTGTAGTTAATAAAGATCCAAATGGACTCTAAAGCAAGTAGATTGTAGTTAATAATTGTCCTCTGTCTAGCTTTTATAAATTTGCAATAGAGTAGATTATGTGCACAGTGATGTTACTAGTTCAACCTAATTTCAGGTTGTAAAAAGAATCTCAGTGTTTCTAAATGCTTTAAAAGGGTGCTTTTCAACTTTTAACGTTTCATTATTACATTATTTTGTCACTTTCTGAAAAGAGAAGTGATAAAGGAAAATAATTAGTTTTTTTTCTTTTAATTTTTAATCTTTAGTGGGTACATAATAGGTGTGTACGTTTATGGGGTACATAAGATATTTTGATACAGGCATACAATGTGTCGTAATCGCATCAGGGTAAATGGCGTATTCCAATACCTCAAACATTCATCCTTTCTTTGTGTTACAAACATTCCGATTATACCCTTTTAGTTACTTTAAAATGCACAATGCATTACTGTTGACTGTAATCATCCTGTTGTGCTATCAAAGACCAGATCCTATTGATTTCATCTAACTATATTTTTGTACCCATTAATCATCCTTATTTCCCGCCCCCATTCCCCACTGCAGCACAGCCTCTGGTAACCATCTTTGTGCTCTCCAGCTCCATGAGTTCCACGATTTTAATTTTTAGCTCCCACAAATAAGTGACAACATGCAAAATTTGGCAAACAGGTATATGAAAAGAAGCTCAACATCACTGATCATCAGAGAAATGCAAATAAAAACTACAATAACATATACGCTCACTCCAGTTAAAATGGATTTATCCAAAAGACAGGAAATAACAAATGCTGGTGAGAATGTAGACAAAAAGGAACTCTCCTCACACACTGTTGTGGAAATACAAACCAGTACAGCCACTATGGATGTGAGTATGACGTTTACTCTGAAAACTGAAAATAGAACGACCAGAGCCACCAGATAATCCAGCAGTCCCACTGCTAAGTATATACCCCAAATTAAGGAAATTAGTTTATCAAAGAGATATCTGTGCTCTCATGTTTATTGCAGCACTATTCACAATAGCCAAGACTTGGAAGCAACCTACGTTTCCATATACAAACAAATGGATAAAGAAAATGTGGTATGTACACACAGTAGAGTACTGTTCAGCCATAAAAAGAATGAGATCCTGTCATTTGCAACAACATAGATGGAACTGGAGGACATTCTGCTAAATGAAAGAAATCAGGCACAGAAAGACGTACCTTTACTATAGAAATATCCAGTGATCCCACTTTGACCATATGTCCAAACTTAGCATTGTTGTAGTGAGATCCCTTGACATTGTGCAATATAAAGTATGTAACATCATCTCTGGAATATTTTTGCCAAAACAATTTAACCAAAATCCAAACAAGCCCTTGGACCTAACATCTTGTCTAATGGAAATATATGAGATAGTCATAAGTTAAATCTCACCACAAGGAAAAAAACAAACAAATCTAACATTTGGGACATTATACAAGAAAACTGATGTGGTATGTTTTTAAAAAGTCAAAGTTAAGGGGAAAAAAAGGTTGAGGACTGTACTTGCATAAAATAGCTAAAGTAACAAAAGAATCAAGTCCAGTGTGTGAAGTTTGGTTGGATTGTTTCAGAAAAAAACTACAAACAATATTTTGTTGACAATTTAAAAATTTTGAATATGGATTGAATGTTGGATGCTATTAAGAAAATACAGTTAATTTTCTTAAACGTAAAAGGAGTATTAAGGTTATGTAGGGAAGTGCTATCTTTTTTGGAGATACAAGTAGACATGTTCAGGAGTGAAATGTCATGTATGTCTGCAATGAACTTAGAAGTAGTTCAGCAAACGGGTAGTGGAATATGAGCTATCAGTTTTCTTTCAGCCTTTTTTAGTCAGTTCTTGCACTGCTATAAAGAAATACCTAAAACTGGGTAATTTATAGAGAAGACAGGTTTAATTGGCTCACAGTTCTGCAGGCTGTACAGGAAGCATGAGGAAGGCCTCAGGAAACTTTCAATCATGGCATAAGGGGAAGCAGGCACGTCCTACATGGCCAGAGCAGGAGGGAAGAGAGTGAAAGGGAAGTGCTATACACTTCTAAACAATCAGATCTTGTGAGAACTCAGAACAGCAAGGGGGAAACCCACTTCTATGATCAAAGCACCTCCTCCAGGCCTCTCCTCCAACACTGGGGATTACAATTTGACATGGGATTTGGGTGGGGATACAAATCCAAACCATATCACAGCTTCTCTGCATGTTTGAAAATGATTTCAGAGTAAAATATTTGGAAGTCGGGGTAAGGCAAAGGAAAGAGTGCCATGAACAAATGAATGTTCCTTCTTCACTGGCTGCATGGCATAGTTTAGTTTCACCTTACCTAAATTTCCCTGGAGAATCCACTTACCATCTTTGTAGCTTCAGTTTCTTTGGTTCTTTTTAAGTGTATCTCCTTATAAAGTTCATGTTTATAGACATGTTTGTCATCCTGACTTTTTAAGAAGCATTGTAAGGAGCAATGACCAATACTGAAATGTGGCTCCTCCCTCGGGCTTACTTAGATTCATCTTAGAGTAAAATGCCAGAAAGAACCTTCAAGAATATTCCTCAGGGCAAAAATCTGTCCGCAAAGTCACTCCCCTAGTCACACCTTTCATGCTTTAATTCTAAATCTGGTACTCTTGGGCTCTGTCACACCACCAAGACTCTCTGAACTTCAGTGTTTTAAATTTACAAGGTGGTTACGCTGGCTGCCCTGCTCACTACATGTGGCTTCTGTGCACCCAGTGAGAGATGCATAAGAATGTGATCTGAAATCTGCCAAGCACACACAGATTTAATGATTATTTAATCAGGTACCTCAATAAGAATAAGCAGGTTTCTCATTTTACACGGTCACATTTCTTGCACCACATTCATCCTATGAAACTTTGTTTTATATGTTTCCTGGAATTCAAAATATCTATGAACTATTTATAACTTTTATTCTTTTTCATTTTTTCTTCATGACAATGACAATGTTTAATATGTTCTTACCTACTTCATATTCTTGGAGTGTGCTCACAGTGTCCTCTAGAAATGGGAAAAGTTGTGTCTTTTTGGTGGGAGGGTCCATTTTTGAGTTAAAAAGCAGGAAGCGTTTCGTAACTTTCATCACAGAAGACTGTAGTGAAGGAGCTGGTCTTAACACCTAATGGTTTCCTCTTTTTGCTACAGGCTATGCTGCCTACATTGGATACATCTGCACTAATCGGCAAGTTGATCTTGTAACTTTTCCAAGATCACTGTAATTTTGTCAGGGGCAGGGTGGGGACATCGAGAGATGCCTTTTAAAGCAGCTGGTTTGAATCTTTGGGGTCCCTGTTGCCAAAGTCTGTCCCTTTCTTGCTGTGTGTTGTTGTGCAATAGCCTCCCCTCAGTCCCACACCCAGACACCAGCTGGGCATGGGGAGGAGTGCAAAGAGGGTGGGGAGCATGAATCCAGGCCAAGGGGGTGTCAAATAACAAAACCAAGTGACCCAACCACTGCATCATAGAAAAGAACATTTTGAACTTCCGTTAACACGACTGAACAGTATACATCATTTAAAAAGAAGTATTTCAATGAACTTGCTATCAGGCTAATGTTTGTTTGACTGTTATGGCATTGCTTCCCTTCCTATTATTTCCAAACTTATTTATTTTAGTAGTATATGTTTGCCATTTTATAAGCTAGGCACTTATTTATCTGAGACTGTTATCTGAGTGCTAATAGAGATTCCTGATCATTGTAGATGATCAATAAATGTTTCATGATGATGATGATGATGATGGTAAGTTTCATGAAATATTTTCTAATTCCATGTGATTATGATGAAAATTTCCCTATTTAGTATTGCTTAGGGAGTGGACTTCGAGAACCATATTACTGCAATGACCATACCTGAGACTTGTGGTTGAATTATTAGAATAGATACATGCCCTTTATTAATCGAATATTTACAACTTGAACCAAAACTAACAAAGGATTATTTTAGCTTTGTAAAGATCCATTTATCTAATTTCTGATTGATTTCAACATGTATAATATCCTTTTCACTCTTTCTCACCTCAAATCCTGCAGCAAGCAAAAATAATCATTGAAATGTAACTTAACCATCAAAGAAAAAATATATCATTTTTGTAACAATTTATAGTTTTCATAATATGAGTCTCCAATTCCAGTATGTTTTATAAAGACTTACAAGATTTATAATATTGGTGTTTTTTAAAGTTAAACACATTGTTATCATTGACTACTTACATCTGGCCACATGCAGTTTCATTTATAGGCTTTATATGATGATCTCAAAATTCTAAAGTATAAACCAGAGTATGTATCAAAATAACAACAAATGGACAGGAAAATCTTTATATGCCTTACAAATCCAAGTCAAATAGTAATAATACTATCTACACTCTTCTCTGTCTAGTACTTTGAAATTTGTTAAATAGATATTTTGAGTTTCAGGGACAGTCTCAATTTCACATCATTTATTCTCATAACTAAATCAAACTTATTAACTGTAGTTTTATAAAATGTTAATATAATTGAATTTTTAACTTACAAAAAATACCTTGTTATACAGTGTCTCCACTCGTCAGTTTAGAAAAGATGATCAATATATCAAAAAGCCATTTGCAAAACAATTCTAATTTCATTTTAATCTCCAAGATAATGATTCTGTTTTCCTCCTCAGATCTCTGGATCTTATTCTCTGCCTCTCAAACACATTGCAGAGAAGAATGTAAGTTCTTTGTACTTTAGATGAATTATTTCAACTTTAAGATCTCTTGGGATTATTTGAATGGACGCTTGGAAGCACTAGGGCTTTCCTGAGACCTACTGCTACATTGTGAAGAAAATCATGCTTTACCTAGTGTAAGCGTAGCCCTGCTACCTGAGTCCCTGGATCAGAGTGGCATCTCCTCACCTGTGGATGTTGCTCCTAATCAATCATGACTCTTTCCCACTGAGCCCAGACAGACTCTTAGAATTCTTCTTACCGCAGTGCCCTAGTCAGTCAATACTGACTGATTATCACAAGCATGACAAAATTTATTTTCCTCTTCATTGGTAGACTAAGGACCTGTAAGAATATTTGGCCTAAATTTCTGATACCTGGCCAAGAAAAGCTAAGTTAGCACCCGAAGTGATTGAGCAGTTTTGCTGAATATATTTTTGAATGGCATAAGAAAAGAGTAATAAAGCATAGCAAAAGATACATAAATCCTCATTTATGTATTTACATTGCCCAAATATAAATGTCAGGAATGGGTGCATAGGGCTGGCTTGGCATTTACTGTGGCACCAGGGGTTTATCTGTGACTCAATACAGGGCAAGCAAAACTGATTATTTAGATCCTAACCCATTAGGATCATTAACTAACTGAAAAGTTCCCATAATTTGCTCAGATAAGCAATGGGAGCCATTAGAAACCTAATTGATGCCAGGAACATGGTAACAAAACAAGTGGCAATCAAAAATTATATCATGGGGTTATAATATTTTTTTCTCAAAACCTTTACCCATAATTCTCAACTGTCTTTACCTTTAGTTTCTCCAAGCTTTCTTCTCCTGTATCCCACCCTAGATTTGCCTTTCTAAGCATCATTTCACCACATTTCTTCTATACTCCATCAAGACCCTGATTTGTAAAACTCAAAACCCATTCGCTGGATTTTCAAGGTTCTCCACCATCCAGCTGAAACATACCTTTATTGTCCTAAATGCTGTCCTCCAGATGTGCCTTGTGATTTTCTACCTGAATGCCTTTTCTCATCTCATTTCTCATATCTGAAAGGCCTTTCCACTTCATTCATTTCAAATGCTATTCATCATTCAAAGTCCAAGGCAAATCCCACCTTGTCCATGAAACCTTTCTAAGATACCACAGGCTACAATGGTCTCTCTCACAGAGCTCAATATATTTAATATGGTTAATTTTTTCATACTAATTGTTAAGGATTCAGGAAGTTCCATAATTATGTCAGGCACTGACCCTAGGGGATGACAAAAGCTAAGTAGTTAAAGATCCAGGCATGATAATTCATGTCCACTGTAGCTGGAGCTTGTTTGTATCTCAAAGAAAATTTTTGAACCTTTTCTTCTTTCAGAAGTAAGCTTGTTGTTCCCACCCTTGAAAGAGGCCAGGCTTAGCACTGGAATCACACTTAGTACTAGCCTATATAGAATTCTGTTTCCCAGCTAGAACCACAAGTAATACATGTGTAGCTAGGGAAAAGTTTTAACTGCTGCATTCATAATAGTTTGAAAGATTTGTAATGGTACAGGACTGTAGGAGTAAACAGAATTTGAACTAGAATGCTGTTGTTTAGTTCTAGACTCTTTTGTCTGCTCCATCCTGTTGTCTGACAACTTATAAACCCATGTTATCAGTCATCGTATATTACCTTGAAAGAATACCACATAAGAATAAGCTGGGTATTTTTCTGCTATAGTTTCTCTGTGGCAAGCAATGGAGACTAACTCTAAGTTAAAAGCAAAAGATAATTTGTTGAAAGGATAGAGAGTAGGACGTTCATCTACTGGAGAGAACACCCAAGTAACAAACTTAAAAAGGACCAAAAAAACAGTCCAACTCTGAGATTCTATGTAGCAAAAACTATCGCCGAAGTTCTCTGGGCACCACCACTGTGTTGGGACAGCACCAATCATTTTTATTTCATTTTGTTTCACTCCATTTTCAAATCCCTAAAAGGAAAAGTCCAGTAGTATCACTGTAGGTCACTTGCTCAGCCTTGCATATCTTGATTCAGAGGCTCATCAAGGTAGCGCTCAATGGCAAAGAAATCATTCTCCACAAACAAATATGGGTGATCTTGTCAGAATAAGAGAGAATGGGTGTGGGAAAGGAAACACTAACACGTAGTAATCACAATTTGGAAGAATTTTCCAGGAGAAGAAGTTGGCAAACTACTAGAATGTATTAAATGAATGCATTGGCTCCTGGGAAAATTTCAATATAAAAAATTTACATATTTTTAAATTTTCTGAGACAATAACTTTACCTGGGGCTGATAGAATAACCAGCTGACCTGTTGAATGCCATTTTTCTGACTCCATTTCTAAGCTCTTTAAAGTATTTTTTTAGCTATCTCTGCTTGCATGTAATCCAGCTAAATTTCCAGGGGCCTTTTCTTTCTTTAGGTCAGGCTGGACTTACCATTCCCCTTCCATTAACCTTTTAGTTCATCTGCTTCTTGTGTCTGTCATCAGCTGTAGGAGATGCTGATTATGTTAGGAGCCTCTGGAAAAGGGGATGAGACAGAGAAGCACCAAAAGATAAGGAGACCAACAAGAAAAAGATTAAAAACCTCTCAGCACTAAGTAGTTAGGGCAGAGTACTGTTGCAAACCTCTGCAATTGTTGGCTTTGGATGGGGGAGGATGAATCAGTTTAGATAACTCAGGAATGGGCTTGAACCTTTGCCCAGACTTCAGAATGAACCACCAAAAAAACCTCAGAGTTTTCCCAAATTAAGACATTGAGAAAAATATTAAAAGTAAATTTCCCTTCCTTTCCCATCTCTCCATCCCTAGGGGACAGCTGGGACCACAAGGCAATTTATTAATAATAACGAATTAGATTTTCAGTACAAATTCCCTTCTGGCCATTTTGATGTGTCAGAAATACTTTACAAATGTTAAGTACAGCAATTAATCTCTTGAAAAAGGGAGGGAGAAGAGCTTTCCCAGCTGTAGATTTTAGTAATTTCATTTAGTTAAGATTTTGCTCTCATTTTCTGCATTAGGATGTGTTTTCCTGGAAAGTCGGTCATCAAATATTTATTGATTGCCTACAATTTCCCAAGCATTGTGCCTGGTGCTAGGGATGCAGAGTGAACCCTGTAAACCATGGTGCTACTCTCCTGGAGCTTCTAGAGAAGTTCACCAACTAATTTAATGTGTGAATTCCATTTGCTCAAACATCTAGTCACTGAATGTAATGCAGAACTTTATTTTCCTCCTTTCATATTTTGTGTTTTATTAGGCAGGACGGGCAATAGGGGAATTATAAAATCTGAATAGTTTTTTTTTCTTGGCATTTAACTTACATATGGTCCAATTCTTCTTTAACCTCAGCATCAGGAAGCATGGTTACCACCACTATTTCAGTGATTAGAATTCGTGTAAGTTAATGAGATGACTCTTTCAACTTTTCACTCTACTTTGAGTGGGCAAATCAGCATATTGAATGTATCCATCTTGACCTGTCTTTGTAGAGCTAAAATAGCTTTGAATGATATCTGGAGGAGCTTGAAACATGTCCAGATCCCAGATGATGGCTTTTGGCAATCGGCACTTAAACACCTCTCATTTTCTATCCAAATGTGGGATGCAGACAATTCTCTTTTGTTCGGATTAAATCCAACTACTCATATTTTCCCGGACTCTCCTCAGATACTATTCCTATCACCACCTACTTCTTCTCATTGAAAAGGGGAAATGTCTCTATAAACTGCTACCAAATGTGAGGTAGCTTGCATTCCTAGCTTGAGAAGCTATTTTCTGTTATGTTATTTGTATTCTTCGGAAATTATGCCTTGTGGCATAATTAGAGGGATTTTTAGTGGTGACTAAATTAGTCCCTGACTCTGTGAAGGTTTATGTGTAGGTCATTCTAGAAAGTTGGTCTTGTTTTTCTAAGAAACTTCTACAAGCTTCTAAAACTCTATCATAATTAATATGATGTGTTCCTTGTTTAGATCTTACCTGTAATGCTTGAAACAGTGGCCAGAACTCTGAAAGATAAAGCTACTATTTGATTTGATTCAATTTATTGAGTGTGATTTATTATCTTTATGATCAACTCAATTACCTAATTTGGAGAGCACCTGCTATGCTTTGTTCACTGTGGTAGAGCTCCAGGATAGAGAGATGATCTTAGCTGAGAGTCTAGTGGAAAAAAATGTAAACAAATACATAATAATAAAACATAAATGCAACAATATAAATATTTACCCTTCATAGTAGTGGGACAGAAAGAAGGGTAACTAATTCGATTCAGGGAGAAAAGTAAATCAAAGATGATCTCAGAAGAGAGAAATTTCAAGGAGGTATGTCAAATTTGCTATTGCTGCAAAATAAATTGCCCCAGACTCAATGGCTTAAAGCAATACCCATGTATTATCTTACAGTTCTATATTTCAGAAATCCAGGCATGGCTTAGCTAGAGCCTCTGTTCAGGGCTTCACAAGGCTATAGTCAAGGTGTTGGCCAGGGCAGCACTCTCATGTGAGGCTTTGTTGTCAGAATTTAGTTCCTTGTGAATATGGGATTGAGACCTTTAGCCACATAATTCTTGCCAAATGGCCCTCTCCTAAACATGGCAGTTTGCTTCTTTAAGACCAGGGTTGAAACATTTGCTGCTGCTGCTTCCATCTCTGACTTTTCAACCTCAGGGCTCACCTGATTAGGTCATGCCAGCCCTGGAAAATCTTCATTTCCACTAACTTAAAACCAGCTGAGTAGAGACTTTAATTACATCTGTAAAACCCCCCATTATGTCATATGAAAGAATCTAATCACAGAAGTAGTATCCTCTCACGGTCACACATCTCACCAGCACTCAGTGGGAGGGGATTGTACAAGGGTGTGACTCTTTGGGGTCATTTTGGAATTCTGTCTACCGCAAGTAGGTTTTGATAGCTAAATAGGATTTTTCCAACTGGACAATGGGTGAAAACACATAATTGGCTGATACAGCAGAGGTATATGAACACC